AAGCGCCGCAAAAAACCTGCACGTTACAAAACGTAATCGTCAATACATAAATATAGTGACAAATAACACGTACATTTTTAATAAATTTTTTCTTACTGAGGGAGTTCGGCGAAGTTCGATTCCCAAGTGCCATACAAACGATCGATGGCCTTTTTCCTCCCGTGCCATGCCTTCTTGTAGCTTACATCGACTTTCCAACATTTTTTAACATCCTCCTGGATCAGGGTAACACTGTAGTCGGACTTCTTTTGAATCTTGGTCATGACAAGATTTGAGATCATTGTGGCGGTTACATTTTCGTGGTCAATTTTTTCGACTTCTTGCAGACAACTGTGCCTCTCAGTCCATTCCGTTACTTCCCACAGTCATGAACTCGTGTGCAGTGCGTCACCCGAGCCCTCCACAGACAAGGTTCATCTTCGTTGGACGTGCACACCACCTTGAATGATTTCTTATTCGAATAGGTTGTCTTAACCTCCCTCAACCTGCTAACGTTCCAACTCATGATACCCATCTGTGCTTCTCCCTTGGACCGGAAAACAGTACCCAAATGGATAGTCTCAACATTCCCATTCCAGGTTGGCAAGGCATACTCATCCCGGTCTACACACGTCGGGTCCCACTCACCCATCTCGCGATACACGTGCTTACCGCTACTAGGAAATGGGTATTCTTCAATAAATTCTGGTTCACTCTCCTCGTTTATTGATCTATCCGATTCCGTTTCCGAGGTACCATCTGTGAAATCGTATTCACCGCGAATGAAATCATGATCACTTTCTTCCTCATTATCGCATTCTCTAACTGTTGAGCTTGTCCCTTCGCCAAAATTACGAACATGCGAAGTGGACGTACCCTAAACATCAGCCACTCCACCGTAAAAAGGGGCAACATCCTCAAACTGCGTAACATCTGTAGGTGCCTGCGTAACCTGCTTCAACTCTAAATGCAAATACACATAGGAGAAAGGAGGAAAATTATATATCCAATCAACAGCACTATTAGTATTCAGGTTTCCAATATTCCACGAAGCATCGCGTTCGCTACTCAGTAAACTAATCTTCTCAATTATCCAACCATCTCGATGAAACACAAAATTTTCATAAAGATTATCTACCAATTCTTTAAATGATAGCTTCTCCCTAATGCTAAATGAACCATCCGGAGAGTTTTTAAAATCTGAAAAATCATATAACAAGTCCTTCGGAACATTCCAATACACATTAAAAAAGTATGGTCCGGTAGACGACATTTATACCTGTTGCAAAAAACAATTCTTCCCAATTACAACAACACATAATTTCTCAAAAAATTCAATTATTCTTTTACTCAAATCAAGATAAATATTTTCAATTAATACTACAATAAAAAAAAAAAA